CATGAAAGAAAACAGCCAAGATAATACACGGCAAACTTTATTCTTTCAAGAGACAATAGCTGTCAATAAATTTAGCAAGCCATGGAAGCTCCCTAAGGAGAAGCAGACAGGCACAGCTGCGATTTTCACGCTGCACAACAACAAAAGTAAACAGCTCTGACGATGTCAGGCTCGCCAAGAACTGCTTCCCTCAAACATAGGTGCTGCAGGAAAAAGGAACTGGACCACCAAAGACTGATACACAGTTGGTGGTAATATCCAATAGATGACTTTGAAATGGAGCACAGGGTTTGGGTAAGGTTAATAAAACTGCCAGACAATGGTTTACACTCTCACCTCCCATAGAAACCAGAACTATGGAATAAGCCTGCATCGGAGCCTGGAACTGGCAAGGCCGGGGCCTTATATTCCCTACAGCTATGTGGGCAGACTAAAAGAGCCTTTATAAACTGCTCATGGGAATTTATACTAGTCCAGCTACTATGAAAGTCAGTTATGGAAGTTCCTCTCAAAACTAAAAAGAGATCTTTCATATGACTCAGGTCTATCATTTCTAGGTATTTACCCAAAGGACTCCAAGTCAGCATGTCACAGAAATACTTGTACATCAATGCTTACTGCAGCATTATTAACAAAAGCAAAGTTGGAGAACCAATCTAGGTATCCAACAACATAGGAATGGACAAAGAAATGTGTTATAAATATCAATGGAATTTTTTTTAGCCATAGAGAAGAATAAAGTTATATCATTTGCAGGAAACTGAATGCAACTGGAGATGTCATGTTGAGGAAAGAGTCTCAAACAAACATCACATGCTTTCTTGCATTTATAGGTCCTAGATTTTATAGGTACAAACAACCATATATTTAAAGATGACAGGAAAGTAGAAGCAAACTATTTGGGGAACAAAGGGAATTAACCAGGGGGAAAGGTGAGAGGGGAGGATAATAAGATATGGTAGGAAATGACTTAGAGTACATTATATATGTGTATGAAGATGACCTTATATGATCCTGTACAATAAAATTTTAAAATAAAATAAAAATTATGAGGCCCAGGCTGGTGAAGATATGATATGGGACAGAGTCCGTGGGACTCTGGGTGGACAGCATGATCAGACATTTTCTAAATGACTCATCTTCAGTCACAAATGAGAAGTAAGTCAGAAATTTTAAGACTTTAATATTGAGATTTTATACAAATAAGAATTAGTCAAAAATAAATTAACAGCCATAGCAGTGACTGTCAGTGGTTTTTACTTTCTGTACCTAGAGATGGTTAAGAACTGGCTAGAGGGCTGGAGAGCTGGTGCAGCCATTAAAAGCTCAAGCTCACAACCAAAAAGAACCATCTAGATGATCACCTGTCAGGACTGTTGGACGGAAAAGGGATGCCTTTGATCTGACGGTGTCTTTGGATGCTTCCAGCTCTCTCTGATCCCAAGTGTTTCTGTTTTCATTGGGTTGGAAATGGTAGTCGGAGCCTTTGCTCTCTTTCATCAGTTCTCCTAAATATTCTGCTGACTGATACGTTTCTTTTCTTTCTTCTTCTGTATCCATAGATGAAGTCTTGTCTGAGAACTTTCTGGATTATAAGAATCGTGGCGTCAATGGTTCTCATAGAGGCCAGATCATCTGGAAGATTGATGCCAGCTCTTACTTTGTGGAACGTGAGTACTTTCACCATTCCTGGGGTTCAGCAGATGTGACTGAAGCAGATTTCAACTGTTTGATTTTTTATTCCATTAGAAAGGTACCTCCACTTAGATGCAATGTAAAAGGCAGAGGTAGATTTAGTGAGAGTCTTAAAAAGACCATCAGCTTAGAGCCCCACAAGAGTTGGATAATAACTATGAAAATACACTCAGAAGGCCACTCCTTCAAGACCAATGAAAGCCTTTGTTCATGCTCATGAGTCTCTAGACTTAGGACCCTTTGGCACATGCCCTTTAGCTCTCATACCTTGACTCTTCTAGGATAAGTGACCTCCAACTTCACCATAGTGGAAACCGTGTCTTCTCAACATATGTCCTGTCTCTGAGATTTTCCTTTGTTTGATCCAGTCCTTTATGGCCCCTTGCCCACAGTGCTAATATATTGATCATTTACACATTTTCTCTAGCTTTTGGTTCTTGCCATACATAACTCTCCAGGATGCAAATTATACATTTATGATATCAGTCATTTTCTTTAGTTACTGATCTACTGACATTTTTGAATATATAAACTAGGTGCTATGTATATTTTTTACATATTTTCTAAAATTTTCCTTTGTCCTCAAAAATAATTTTTAAAGTCATGGTAGGATTTTTTCCATAGGTCCCCATACAACTGTATTTCCTGTATGGGTATCACATTTGTTGTCTGAAACAATGTACAGACTGACTACCTGTAGTCCAGAAGTCCTATTCTTCTCCATGGGGAATGCATCTGCACCCATGTTCTTCAGGAGAGGCGATTCACCAGGCAGCATATCCAGAGAACTCACAAGTACTACTCAGTGGCAGGTTGATACCTGAAAGCCCTGCTAAAATTAGCACCTTCCAAATCCCTTATGTAAGAGTGAGACAGCTGCCCCGCCTCATGAAAACTGCTTCCTTGACCACCATGGTGCCCACTGTCACAGCCAGGACCTCAGTCCCACATCAGGCATTGCATAAGTAGAGCATATAAACACATTTTTGCACATTATGGCTCTTCATGCATATTCATTCATTTAGTATGGCAGGTCTGAAAAGAAATGGAAGAGACTGTAATTTTAGCTGCCCAGTTCTCAACCCTATTTCTCTGTCCTACGCAGCAGCAATCACTTTCCCTGGTCACACCAATTTATCCTCTGACAAATAGCATTAAAAAAAATGTAGTCTTGATTGATATGTAAAGATAGCTCAAACAAGTGATGCCTAATATAAGCCTCTACATTTTTAGTAAGAACATAAAGGACAAGAAACTGCATTAGCAATGATTGTTAGATAATGCTGAGGCCAGCCTACAGTAGGAGCCTGGTAAGGCAGGTTTTCCTTTCCTACAATAGGCCTGTTTACTTACTTTGATATGAGAAACCAGCAAAAGGGTATAGTACAGGAGCAATTCTTAATGATGGAGGCAAGTTAGCAATCTGTAAAGTCATGGTAGCTCTGTTACTGAAAACGAAACCTCTGGGTGGGAAACACAATATGCCCAACTCAGAGTCAAAAGCCATGTCCTCTTTACATTTAATGCTAGAAAAATCTCCTATCTCTTCAATTGTATAAGGCAGGAAAAAAACAGAGACTTATATTATAAATTACTTCATTAATAGTGCCATTCCCACAAAGCAGATTTTAAAGATTTCTGTAACATAAAATATTTCTTGTGCATTTATCATAAATAACAAATGATTTAATACAATCATCTACATCATCATTATGAAATTATAATTTAAATGTTATTATAGTCATTAGAAATTAAAAGCTTTTTAATTTTTATTATTTTTATTTTATTTCACATGTATGAGTGCATTGCCTGCATGTATGTAAGTGCACCTGTGTCATGCAGTATCCACAGAGGTCAGAAGAGGGTGTCAGATCCCATGGAACTGGAATTACAGATAGTTGTTAACTGCCATGTGGGTGCTGTGAATCAAACCTGGGTCCTCTGCAAGAGCAGCCAGTGCTCTTAACCACTGAGCCATCTCTCCAGCCCCATGAAAAGTTTTTTACAGTTTTTTTATTTTGAAAATTTCATATGTGAGTATAGTTTTTGCATTATTTCCATCCCTCCCAGTCCCCCACCAACACATTCCATGTCCGCCACTCCCTCTCGATTTTTGTCCTCTTCTTTGATTATTATTCTTTGATTTCTATTGTTACATGTACACACACAAACACACACACACACACACACGCACATGCAAAATGCACAGAGTCCATTTAGTGGTGCCCCTTTTTACCTGTGTTTAGTGCTGCGTACTTGAGATTAGATAACCTCTCAGAGAGCCAGTCCCTCCTTCCCTCAGCATCCACTGATTGTTTGTAGCTCTTCATCTTGACATCTTATGACATTCCCCCATCCACATTGACACATCATTATGCAGAGCTCATCAGACTGCCACACTGTGGAGATTTCATGGGTGCAGCTTCCTTACATGTCTAGAATGCATTAACCAGCAGCAGGTGTCTTGTCCCTATGGCTCTTACATTCTCTCTGCCTCCTCTTTTGTTATGTTCTGGGAGGCAATCTAAAATACATATACATTATCAAAATATAGTGAAAATATATTCAAACTTGGTCAAGAGGTTGTCCCTGTTTTTTTTTTAATAGTGACTTTCAAATGGAATGTTCAAAATAACTAAAAATATGATTTTTTAAAATTTTGTTATTTTTTATGTGCGTGTATTGCCTACATGTCTGTAAGTGCACCCGTGTCATGCAATGCCCACAGAGGAAGAAGAGGGTGTCAGATCCCCTGGAACTGGAGTTATGTACAGTTGTTAGCTGCCATGTGGGTGCTGGGATTTGAACCCAGGTCTTCTGCAAGAACAACCACTGAGCCATCTCTCCAGCCCAAATTGGATTTTTTAATGAAAATTTTTTAATGTTCTTGAGAAGATTCTGAGCCTCAGTATAATTATTAAACTAGCAGTATCTCATTATTTGTGAAAATGGATAAAAGTGAACTAAAAAGGGTGGATATTGACATCTTTCATACACATCAAATGATCAATATATTAAGATGGTCTTTACTAATATGATGAAATCTGTCAAATTAAATACATAAATAAAATTTTCAAAATTAAAGGCCCTTTTTCAAGACAAAGCCTTATTAAGTTGACAAATGATTTGACTATTAACTCAAGGCATACAGATAAATCAAATAAATTAAAATGTTACAATGGCTAAAGAAATTAAAGTGCATAAAATTACATATTATATGATCTATAAACTCATATCCTTAATAATGTTCATTTTCAAGGATATATGACTGAACATGTGCCAAATTAACAAGTAGAGAGGTACTGAACGTTCAGCGTGTTCTCACGTTCCTATCCTTCATCAGCACACCAAGCTTCAAAGGTCTTCTTGCTGTAATAACAAAGCAGAATCCAGACCATTATCCCGAATGTTAGAAAAGTCTTTATTACCCTAAAATAAGATTCTTCATAGTCTCCTAATAGTGATAAACACATTAATCTAACTGGTAAATTATAGTTTTGCCAACATTGAGCACTGGCCAGATTCTAAATTCTGAGGTACAGCAGACGGTCATTGTTTCTACCTAGGAACTAATTTAAAATAATAAGATAAAACGAAGCTTTCTTTTTTTGGGTTTCATTCCTGTCTTAGTTACTTTCTATTGCTGTAATAAAACACTGACCAAAAGCAACTTGGGGAGGAAAGGGTTTGTTTCAGCTTACAACTCTAGGTCATAAGCCAACATCCAGGAAAGTCAGGGAAGACTTTCAAGGCAGGAACCTGGAGGCAGGAACTGAAGTAGGGACCATGAAGGAACCCTGCCTACTGGCTTGTTCCTCTGACCTGTGCTCAGCCTGCTTTCTTCTTTTAAAAAAAATTTTTAATTGTAATTTTGTGATTTTCATATAATATAATTTGATGGTATTTAGAGTCCCTCCCCTATTTGCACTTCCCTTTATTGCCCCAGGCCCATACACACACACACACACACACACACACACACACACACACAAGCGGGCACGTGCGCGCGCACACACACGTATGTATGTATATGGCCTATCTATAGATTCTAATTTGTGTCCTCAAATGTCCTTCAATATGGGTTCAATATGGAGCCCAGTTAACATACCAAGAATCACATCCTTGAAAGAGACTGTCTTTTCCTCTCCCAGCAGCCATCAGTTGCCAAACTTTCCTTAGGCTGGGTTGAAGTTTCTTACCCAATTCCCCATTTCTATACTAGGATTTTGTCTAGTTTGAGCTTGCATGAGACTCATCCATGCTGTCACCATTTCAGCCTGCTTTTTAAAAAAAAAAAAAATGTTGTTTTACGTGTGTGAGTGTATTGCCTATATGCATGTAAGTGCACCAGTGCTGTGCAGTGCCTGAGGAGATCAGAAGAGGGAATCAGATCCCTTGCAAGTAGAACTACAGACAGTTTCTAGCTATCATGCGGATACTGAGATTCAAATCCAAGTCCTCTGCAAGAGCAGCCAGTACTCTTAACCACTGATCCATCTCTCCAGACCCCAGCCTTCTTTCTTATACAACCAAGAACTACCTGCCTGAGGTGGCACCCTCCCACAGCACTCAACAATCAAGGAAATGCCTAACAGACATGCCCATACACCAATCTGATAGAGGAAATTCTCCAGTTGAAGCTATCTAGCACAATTGACCCTTTATCAACTTCACACACACACACACACACACACACACACACACACACACACACATCACCACCAAACCATAGCTTTTACATTTCATATCCCCAAGATCTCATGTTAATATTAAAATCACTATAAAACAGAATACAACTTTAAAGGTCTCACAATCTTCAAAAATTCTATCATTTAAAAATTCATTGTCTCTTTAAAATCACCCAAAATCTCTGAACTGTGGGCTTCTATAAAATAAAAAATAAGTTACATCTTTTCTTATTTCAAAAGAGAATTACTGGAAAAACTCAAGCAAAATCAAAGTCTAGAAGTGTAAC